AGCAGGGAGCCCGATGCGGGACTGGATCCCGGGACTCCAGGATCATGACCTGAGCCGAAGGCAGCCGCTTAACCAACTGAGCCACCCAGGCGCCCCTTGGGTTTCCTTCTAATGACATTTTTCCTTGGCTGTATTTCAAACCAAAGCCACACCTTAGCTGAAGTAATAAAGGCTATGACTTTGATCAGGTAACTTTCCTTGAGAGTCAACCATTTCTTAAATCAGCCCTTGAAGGGTTATAAAGATGCTGAGGAAGGGGCGTGGCAGCTAGTCATTCTTGCTTTGCTGGCAAATCAAAATGAAAAGCCTTATAAATAAACCATCCAAAGAAAATAAGATCAAGGATCTAGAGTTGGCACAAGGTCAGTCCTGGAAGTGGAGATGATCTTGACCTACAAACAAGAGGACAGAAATGGTTTCTAAGGACAAGAGAGGCTAAAGATGCAAAGACATCTCAACTGTGCATGCAGTTCCAAGCTAGGCATAAAATAGGCACATTGGTGAACACTTCACACCAAAGTCCCAGGGATTCTAAATAATAATAATAATAATTATTATTATTATTATTATTATATAGAATATTATTATTATTAAAGGAGGTAAAGAGAAAGAGCAAGGGAGAAATAAATTAAAATATTCACAGAAATTAAGAGGAAGTTTATTTCTCCCTTTTGCTAAGAAATACAGGTTGGTTTTTCCTAGGAAAGACATACTAGCTTGAAAAACTAGGCAGAGCTAAATTCTGATCCTAATTTTGCTCAGTCCCCATTGTGACTTTAATGGCCTAAGGCACTTTTATCTTCCTGGGCCCCTTTCCCCATAAAAAAAAATATTGGAAAATATATTTTACAACTGTGTTGATGGTTTCAGCAGGCACTGTCCTTGTTAAATTATTGATTGGTATCTAGGTAGACCCTTCAAACACTGACTATTTGGAGATACATAGAGGGCCAGTCCCAGAAACATGACTTGGAGTAAGACAACCTTAACAAGGTGAAGTGTGGTGACCTAGGAATTAAAGTCACTTCACTGCTTAAGGACCACTAATGTACTTTCAGGTAAGATGGATGGCCTCCATTTTCATCTGGAATATAATGGCAAAAAATAATTAAAAGATCTCTATGACAATATGTACATAGTAGTGTGTAGTGAGGAAAGTTCTGAATTAAGAATCAGGTGGTCTAGGGGCCCCTGGGTGGCTCAGTCTGTTAAGTGTCTGCCTTCTGCTCAGTCATGATCCCAGGGTCCTGGGATTGAGCCCCGCATAGGGCTCCCTGCTCAGCGGGGCATCTCCCTCTCCCTCTGCCCCTGCTCTCTCTCTCTAATAAATAAAGAAAATAAAAAAGCATCAGGGGGTCTAGCTCCCGTTCCATGCCCAGTGTGATCTTGAACCTTGATTTTCATTCAATGAAACTAAACTTTAAACTTTAGTTTCAGTTTCCCTGTCTGTAAAAAGAAGAGAGAAAGGTTTGATGATTCTCTTTTTCTGCTTCTCACCTCGGCAAATACCATGTGTTGGCAAGTTCAACAACCACTTCTAACCCCTTCTTTCTGACCTTTCTCTACTAACAGTGCTGGAAAAGCTAGCACTTGGATTCCTAGCTGCTTCTGCAGTTGGTAAAGCATCTGACACAATTAGGGCCAAGGAAATATGTGGAAGCCTGATAAGGGGTTTCTAGAAAGCCTTTGCTTTGCTGATAAAAGGAACAGATGTGGTTAGGACAACCATTTCCACTTCTTCCTGCCTAGAATGTGGGCTTGAGGCCTGGAGCTGTAACAGCCATCCTGTGAACCTGAGGAACAAGCGTGAGAGTAAAGAGCTATCACTTCTAGGACAGTGGAATAGAAAGTCAGAGCATGCTCAGGCCCTGATGGATCATTGAGCGGTAAAACCAACACCAGCAATCACTCACCTTTGGACTTCTGTTATGTGAAAAAAATAAATCCTATGTAGTAGGGTCTTCACTTGATGACAAAGCATTCCTAAATAAAACCGATGATTCCAATACACTTACCACAAAAAGAGGTTGTGGCCAGTCGGCTTCTCTCCAAAGGTGGTGCCCACTTACTCCACATCCCATGGCAGGCAGGGTAGGTCACACCCTGGCAAAACGGTTGAAAATAGATTATTTGATTTGACCTCAGTTTCTGTTTGTGTTTAAAATGTGGATTCTGCTTCTTTAAGAGAGGCTACGTGATAAAAACCCAATTCATAAATACCAAGTAGCCTGTGTTAGCTATTTTAACTCACAGCACGTACGCTACAATCTGAATATCAGTTCCAATGTAAGAATGGTGGGGAATGGGGAAGGGGTCTTTGGATTTCATATTATTAGAGAATATTGGTGTAGATAGGGGTTTATGCAATCAGCTGGTCCATCCCCTCATTTCAAGATACAGAACCTGAGGCTAAGAGCCATTAAGTGACTACATTCTGGTCTTCATTGCTGTGAATAGTATGTTCTTTCCACCCATCAGTACTTTCCAAAATGCAGTGTATGTCCCTCTAGTAGAACTAGAGTTGCATTTGAGTTGCTACAACAAACCACAGTTTTTATCATAATTGGTGCATATATACTCTAAGAGGCTTTAGAAAACAATGTAGCTGATGCATGAAACCCATGATTGCAAAGATATTGTTGCTTACAATGAGATTCTTTTTTGTGTGTGGTTTTTTGTTTCGTTTTGTTTTTTAATGAATTGATCTAGGGAAAAACTGTAGGTAAATAATAGTACAAATTGTACATGGATATGACAGAAGCAACGGAGGTTAGAGGTGAATGACTGAGCTTGGGAAACAACGCTCTACATCGAGGCTTGGTAAACTATGGCCTGATTTAGCTCACCATCTGTTTTTGTACTGCTCTTCAGGAAGGACTGGTTTTTACATTTTTTTCCAAGGCTCACATTTTTATTTTCTTATTAAGTCTTTTTTTAATTCCATATAGTTAATATAGAGTGTTATATTAATTTCAGGTGCACAATATAGTGATTCAACAATTCCCTGAGTTAAATCTCTGTGTAACACTACACCCTGGAAATTTACAGATTTATTAATAAATGCATTTAAATTGTTTTAGTGGAAAGGGCCCCTGCTATGTGAACTATAGGATTTGGGCTTCAGTTTCATCATTCATTAAATGACAGGGGTTGGATTAGATTATCTCTAAGATTATTCCTGGCTCATGTGAAATTCTGCACTCTATGAAACGGTCCTTTATTGTGTGTACATTTGTAATCACACAGGGCATTCTAATTAAAGTATTCATAATTATAGTTAAAACCGGAGAGTAGAAATAGCAGGACAAGGTGGAAGACCAGAAAACTAAATAAAGCGGGTTTTCTTCAGTAGCTGAATTATCTACAGGACCATTCTGTATTTAGCAGTAGCAAAAACCATTAAGGAAAGAATCTCCCACCTCCACTAGACCTTGCAAGATTCTGACACACATGACACAGCCGTAATGCACTCTGGCCGCAGAAGGGATGAACATGTTCAAGGTTGATGTTAAGAAGATGGCGGCTCCAAAGACCCTGAGGGACCAAAACACTGTATTAGGGGGCAGGCCCACTTGTGGATGTGGCACTTCAGTTACACATCAGGAATGAACCTCTCCATTCATGGAAAATTACCATGGAAATTAATAAAAAGAGAAATAGATGATGTTGTTAGGGTCTGATGTGTCCCAAGCTAGACTGTTGGGCGGCTTTGAATCCTGAGCTCATCCTCGGACCCATTACGGACAGGTTGTTGGCAATACAGGAATATCCCTCCTGAATGAGGTCCTGAAGCTGGAGACTGACAAACGTGAGATGAGCTTGCTGGAGATGCACCATTCTGCTTGGTTCTACCCAACTGACTCATTCTGCCTATTACCACATGACATCAGCACATTGGGATTGTGTCTCATGCTTCACAATTCGCTGTCACTTTACCAGAAGGTCATACTATCTGAAAGCAGGCTGTGTCCTGGGACTAGTCAAGCACAAAACAGGCTGTGTCCCTGTCTGAGCCCCCAGCTCGCTGCCCAGTCCCCCATGCCTTCTCCTCCCTGCCTGGACCAGAGTGTCCTGGAAAAAGAGAGCAGGCAGCATTTTCTTCTTTTCTCACACATTAATGATGCTTCAGCCCTTTTAACGTGTTGGGAAATATGTGTGATTTTCTTTTATGGCAGAAGTGTGAGCCAGTATTTTATCACTTCTTGAAAAGAATACAATAGGTAAGTGATAATAAATGAAGGACACAAATTAGACCAAAACTTAAGTAAATAAAGTCATGCTTGTACATATTTAGATCTTACGGTATTGACTTTCAAACTTTTTGACCTTCACCCATAAAGCAAAATATATTTTATATTGCAACTCAATACATAATCACACACACAAATGTAACCAAAACAAGTTTCAAAAACCAATACTTAAGTGTGCAATGAATTAAGATATTTTCTACTCTATTTTATTCTATTTGATTATCCTCTTTTCCATTTTTCTCTCTTTTTCTTAGAAAATGCTCATTGGTAAATCACTATGTTGATTTCATTACCATTTAATTATTTGTGTTTTAGAGTTTGAGAAACACTGCTTTATAAAATGTATGGTTCATGAAATCTATATGCATACAGTGACACAGGACATACAATTGGAAGGAAACTGGAGACATTTAGCACAACTTTTCTGCTACATATACGTCCTACGTTTCCTCCAAATGGCCATCTTCTTCGGCTTGCACACCTCTAGTGACAGAGAACTCCATTGCTCCTTGAGGCAGCTCATTCTATCTTGGATGATTTTAATTGCTCAAACACCTGCTATAAAATTTCAAGGGCATTAAAGACATCTTGCAATTTAGAGGCAAGCCCCTACTAGACACATGACAATATCTGTCTGGTACTGGACTATATTAACATAGTACATAGAATGTCACTTGTCAAAGGAAACTCAAACACAATCTAAATCATGCTTTATTTCACAGATGAGGAAACAGACCCAGGGAAGGAAAAAAAGTGACTCAGTAGAGGTCACCAAGTGAATTATTTAGGGTCCAGGAACTATTTCTTCTGACTCAGACTCAATTGCTCTTTTTACTACATAATCACTAAAAGAATTACAAGATAAATTAAGTTAGACAAAAAAGTAAATAACAAGAGACTCTTGAGAACAGAATCATATCAATATCTGTGAATCACATCTATTGGAATGGCTCCTGTCTTTCATTCTGCATTTCTAAATTGAGAGCAAACTATGCAAATTTTATAAAAACACAAAATCATGTTATGATCTGTACTGCATTCATGTTATTTCAGTTTGCCTTACCTGTTAGCAGCAAACTTATTTGAAATGAAACCACCTGGAATTTGTGTCACAATATAACCCCAGAAAAAAGATCCATGGATAAGGCCCACTGTCTCTGGATCCCAGTTAAACTGTGCTGTCTGAAATGAGAAATCAGATATAGTGGTGTTTATAAGAAAACACTTGCCTACCATTTTTCACTGATGATCCTACATAACAACCCACAAGGTCCTTCTTTCCTTCTTTTATTCAACAAATATTTGTGGAGGGCTTCTTGTATGCTTGGGATATAGTAACAAATACGACAAAGTCCCTGCTGTCATTGAACTTGCCTTCTAGTGAGAGCAGGAGAGATTATGTACAAACTTAAATACATACATATGTATGTATTAAATATATAAATATGTATTTAATAATGATACAACTCTTAAGCCATTGAAAATTCCAGGGCTAGACCCCCTTTCCTCCCTTTCTTCCCAAAGTAACTCATTCTTTTCAGACTCCTTGCAAATGTTCCTTCCTCTGAGGACATGGGGCACCTGGCTGGCTCAGTCCCTAGAACATGCAACTCTTGATCTCAGGTTTGTTAGCTCGAGCCCCACATTGGGTGTAGAGATTCTGCTTGAATACCTCTAATGACAGAGAACTCTACTGCTCCTTGAGGCAGCTCATTCTGTCTTGGATACTTTTAATTGCTCAAACATCTACTATAGAATTTCAAGGGCATTAAAGACATCTTGCAATCTAGAGGCAAGCCCCTTCTACTCACACGGCAAAACGTATATGGTACTGGACTATATTAACATAGTCCATTAAAAATAAAATCTTTAAAAAAAAAAAAAAGCAATGATATCAAAATGGAAGGTGTTCCTGTTATGGAGGAAGGGTTCTTAATTATCAACATATTATGCCTTATCAACTTTTGTCAGTTTATTTTCCCATCACAAGTTGTTATATATTTATTTGCTCATTTATTCAACATTCACCTAGTGCCTCCTGTGTCCCAGATCAGGTGCTAGACAGTGTAAATACTAATCCAAACAAGGACTGCCTTTGTGTTCTAGGAGATCACAGTCCATGGAACATTGGCCTGTCCTCTATACCGTATTTCCCATTTTACCAATTAGGAAATTGAAGTTTAAGAGTAAAATGAAACTGGGGCACCTGGCTGGCTCAGTCGGTAGAGCACACAACTCTTGATCTCAGGGTCATGAGTTCAAGCCCCACGTTGGGTAGGGATTACTCAAAAATAAATAAATAAATAAAATGAAACTAACAATCATTCATTCAAATCAGCTCACCAAATTTTTATTTTGTGCTACTATGTGCCACACATTGTTCTAGGCACTAGGGATACAACAGTGAACAGAACAACAGTAATTGCTCTCTTCACAAAGACGCCAGTGGGGACAGCAGACAGTAAACAAGTAAACAAGTACAGACTGTGTTAGATAGTGATCAGGAGTGAGGAATAAAAATAAAGCAGGGAAGGCGACAGGAAGTGCCGGATAGGAGTAAGGTAGAGTGCAATTTAAGATAGAGAGGGAAGGCTTCATTGAGGAGGTGATTTTTGAGTAAAGCCCTATAGGAAAGAAGGGAGTAAATAATGCTGTTAATTATCTGAGAGAACTTTCAAGGCAGAGAAATAGCAAGTGTAAAGACCCTAAGGTTAGAGGAACAGCAAGATGTCAGGATAGGTGGAAGGTAATGAGTGCAGGACATGAGAATAGGAGGTAAAGTAAGAGAGGTTCAAATGATGATAGGCCCTTTAAGTCACCAAAAGGACCTTGGCTTTTACTCAAAGAGGGATGGAAACCATTGGAAACTTGGAGCAAAATAGGGACATAATTTTGTTTAGGCACTGTCCATGTATTTCCTCCCTTAATTTTTAGAACACCTAGAGGTAATTCTTGGCTCTTCTTTTGTAGGTAAGGAAAATAAGGCTTAGAGAGATTAACTTACTTGCCCAAGGTCATGCAACTAGTTACAAGGAGAGCCAAGATCAAGGAACCAAAGATCAAAGGCAGAGGGATCCACTTCATCCAGATGCTAATTACCAATCACAATGTCTCTTGCTCATACTTTTCTCTCTTAAAGGGATGGTTCTTCCAGGTATTCTCTGAAGGAGATGATACATGACAAATAGGACTTGGGCCTGCTGAGAACTGAATTTCATCATCACTTGAGCCCCATTAGAATCATAATGGCCCCATGCATGTACCATTACAATAAGCCAACCACTGTCAGGTACTGTGTGGGGTGAAGAAAGACCCCCAGAAGATTTATACACGAAATCTCTGGAATCTCTGAATGCTGCTTTATTTGGGAAAAGGGTTTTGTTGATGTGATAAAATCAAGGATCTTGAGATGAGTTATCCTGGATTATCTAGCTGGGCCCTAAATCCAATGACAAGTGTTCTTAAAAGAGAAAGGCAGAGAGAGATTTGAGACAGAAGAGGAGAAGACACACAGAGAGGAGAAGCCATGTGAAGACAGAGCTAGGGATTGGAGTTATGCTGCCCCAAGCCAAGGATCACCCAGAGCCCCCAAAGCTGGAAAAGGCAAGGAAGGATTCTTCAGTAGAGCCGTCAGAGTGAGTGTGGCCCTGGTGAAATTATCTCAAATTTCTGGTCTCCACAACTGTGCGAGAATAAATTTCAGGTGTTTTAAGCCACGATGCTTGAGGTAATTAGTTACTGCAGTGTTAGGAAACTAATATAGGTACTTAAGGTATTAGCACCAAATTATCTCGTTTGATCTATAAAGCAGGCCTTTCATTCCCATTTTACAATAAGGGCAGTGAGGGTCAGCAAAAAACTGCTAGAAATGACAGTTCCTGCCTCCCTGCTCATTTCCTTCAGAAAGCATTCCCCATCCTCACCCTGGGTCTCTCCTCTGCTGACTGGACATCTGGCCAATCAGGCTCTCTCTGTCTCTCTCTGTCTTTCTCTGTCTGTCTCGCTCTCCAATCTGAACCCAGAAATTATACTTAGACAAGACTGAATACTTGAACTGAAACTAGTCCCCTTTTAGTCAGGGCCGAAGTAAGTCAGCTCCCGGGCAAGACACTTCAGCTTTGGAGGACAGTGAGAAGCCATGGAAAAGGAAAGAAAACAGTCCATGGAGAGACCTGGGACAGTGGAGCATACTCAGAGAGAAGCAGACCGCGTGGAGCAAGCAAGCAAGCTGGAGACCTTAGTTAAGGATTTCCTCATTCCTCATTTCCTCATTCCTAGGAGGGCCAGCTCCACTCTGCCCTTCCTGGCAGAGCCTCTGTTTATGCCTTGGAAAGAATTAGGTAAAGACTCCTTTTCCACCCCTCATGGAGTACAGCCAGGATTTCAGTCCCACTGCAGGCTGGACTCCCCACTGTCCAGGGCACGGACTGCACAAATATACACATCAGACCTGCTTTTTTACCCTCACTCTCATGAGATCTCCTACAGCCCTACCATAATTTCCTTTTTAACTTGACCTGGTTCCACTGCATTTCTATTCCCTGCAACCAGCAATCCCTGACCAGGACATAAGGACAACTTGCTCAAGGTCCCAGAGCTAATAAACAAAAGAAGTCAAGTGTGAAACCGGGTCTGGCCAATTCGAAAGCCCATCCTCTCAACTCTACAGGACTCATGATTCATGGGAAGGAGTTTGGACTTTTCCTGAAGGTAAAAAGAGATAATTGCAAAGTTTCTCAAATGTCAGTCATTTATTGCTTGCCATATGCCAGACGCTATTCTAAGTGATTCACGTGTTTTAAAATTCATAATTATTAAACTAAAAATGAGTATTCACACATCAGCTAAAACTACCCTGTATACAACTAGTAAGTATATGCCAAATATTTGTAAGACCTATATATTCATACTGCTTACTTCTCTCCCTCTTTTGAAAATGAGGATTTCAAAATATCTCAGTGAAAAATATCTAGTTCACCCCATAAAATGAAAAACCAAATAAACAAAATACCAGTCATTCAGAGCCTTTCTTAATACAATTAGTAAAATCTTTGTCATCAGGTTGAACATGCTCAGTTGACATGTAAGCTTTGTTCCATTTGAGTAATAGAGAAATGGCCTGCTATAAATTGGAGTTGTCCTAGAGCTTCTGAAATGCTCCCAAACTCCTATTTTTGAGACCAGAAGAAATGATGCAAAGCATATTTTAGATCTTGATCAGTTTCTCTAAGACTCCAAAGGGAAAACCATAGAAACTAGAGAGCACACACTAGCATTGTTCCTTAGGTTTATCAAAATGTCTTTTCCATATGCCTCCAAACAGACTCTGTTGACCTAGGCCTATCTTTCCAGGCAACAAAGAAATGTACACCAGCATCTCATTTTGATCTGGGCCTTGGCAGACAAGTTTTAATTAGCTGGCCTTGCTCACAAAAGGCTGGGAGAATACATGTGATACACATCTGAAACCTCACTAATATATATCATTATTTAAAAAATGCATGGCTTGCCCCATCACACCTCTCCTGTCCTCCCTCCCCACCAAAAAATAAACAACTAGCATATCCTTTTAGAACAAATTCAGCTGCGACATCAAAAAGAGGCTAGAAGACTCTCCATTGTGCTCTTTTCTTCTGGCGGAATAATCTCTTAGCTAAAAGAAAAAAAAAAAAAGCCTGCAGGGCCAGCTAAAGACCTTTTTTTTAATGGATTAGAATCAAATTTTCCCAAACCAGTGCTTGGCAGGAACTGTTCTAGGTAATGCTAATAGATGTGGCATGAAAGAAAGTGTTCTACAATAAAGTTCGGGAAATAATGCATACACAGCCCCCTCTTGGAGACTCTCACAGGACACAGCACAATAAAAGCTCCCATTTCATACAACACCTTCTTCCTAGCACAGCCTACAGAAGAGTGATATGCCAAACACCAGTTTGGGGAACTCTGATGTAAATGTTTCTCCACATATGGGCAGGGACCAGAGAACTACTAGATGCCCCTCTGCAATGTGCAAGTACCTCCCCATGAGTCATTCCCGTGCGTGTGTTCAGTACAATGAAACATGTATCCATTGGGCATACACTTTTGGTTTTTTCCCCATAGCCTCAATACTTTTCTAGGCATACCATGGAAGAAATAAGCCAGATTTTATCTTTCCAGTGATTCATAAAAACAGTGCTTTTTTTTAATTTAAATTCAATTAGCCAACATATAGCACATGTTCAATGATTCATCAGTTTTGTGTAACACACAGTGCTCATCACATCATATGCCCTCTTTAATGCTTTTAAGTCACATCAGACTTGCTTATGACTACAACAGCCTTTGAACTGGGCCTCCTGCTTCCACTCAATTCAATCCCAGTCTATTGGGAGACCACTGGCTGGATAGTGATCTTTCTGGAACAGATTCGATCATACCACCACTCTGTGCAAAGCCCACCCAGGACTCCCTACGTGGCTTATCAGGCTTTACCTGGCCTAATTCCTATTTACCCTGGTGTCTCCCTCTCTTGAGGCTCAATCATTCTCTACCCTCTTAACAGGGGTTCTCAGCCTGGAGTCCAAGGATGGAATGCTGTGGATCTGTGAACTTTGATAGGAAAAATCAGCATTTTTAGTTTCACTAACTGCTAGCTGAAATTTAGCATTTCCTGTGGTTATGAATGTAGGCAACAAACCACAGTAGTATTATCAGTACCTGTGACTCCATCACGTGGAAATTATAAACCTGTTCATATGACAGTTGTTACCACTATCTTAAACTATGGTTTATACTTCAAACTTCAAAGTTACAGTAATTTTATTTTATTTTTTAAAGATTTTATTTATTTATTTGTCGGAGAGACAGGGGGGTGGAGAGCATAAGCAGAGGGAGGGGCAGGCAGAGGGAGAAGCAGACTCTCTGCTGAGCAGGGAGCCTGATGTAGGACTTGATCCCAGGACCCTGAGCCGAAGGCAGACCCTTAACTGACTGAGCCACCCAGGTGCCCCAAAGTTACAGTAATTTTAGACCCATTGTTAAATTTTGTCATCGATGTGTTTATAAAGAAGCTCATATGTTTCCATATCGTTAATTTTATTTTTAAATACTTTGATATCTGTATTCCAATATAATTGGTTTCCTTTATAATCCTATGCATTTTATTTTAAGAATTTAAAACATTATTTTGACAAAAGGTTCATAAGTCTACAGCAGGTTGCCAAAGGGGTCCATGGCTCAGAAAAGATGAACTCCTATCTCAGTTCCTAAACACATCATTTTCTCTCTCTCCCCCTCTCTCTCCCTCCTTCTCTCTCTCTCTTTCCTTCTCTCTCCCTCCCTCCCCTTCTCTCCTACAGTCTTTCACATAAGATGTTCCTTTTTCTTCACTCTTCCTCGCACTTCACTAAAACACCCTTTGTCGGTCGATTCCTCCTTATCTTTCGGAACCAGCCATCACTTTCTCTGGGAATTCTTTCTTGATATCTGGGTCAGCACTCTCTTATTTGGCCCCCAGCATTCTGAACACCTCCAACATAGCACCTGCAACCATGAATTATGCTTACTTACTTGTACAGCTCTATGACGACAAGGGCCCAACCTGTGCTTTTCATCATTCTCTTCCCTTCACCTTGCACAGTGCCTGGCACATGGTAGCCATTCTACCTTTTTGTCACAGCAATGGAAGAGGTGAAGTGCTTTCTTTCCTATAACAAAGTATTGGCACAGCTGTGGCCAAAAGAGCTCCCACCAAACACAGACACTGACCTGAATTTCTGGTTTTCCATCAACATATACAGTGCTGTTGTTGACCATTTCCACGATGGCTACTCCAAGATTGCACCGAATCCCAAAGGAAATGCAGAAGCCCAGCCCACTCATAATGGCAATGAGGTAGCGCTTGGGAAGGCCACAGCAGTGGCAGCTGCAGAGGGGGGGCCTCTGCCTGGAAGTCTGCACTGGCCTTCCTTCTTCATTCAGCTCAGTGTTATCTTCTTCCTCATTCGTCCCATCAATTTTTCTATAGTGGAAGAAAAATGGTCAAAGAAAGGCTGGGATTTCAGGGAAAAAAGGAAGTATACTAGGCAAAAAGAAAAGGTCTACCAAAGAAGAAAAGGGGAAACCCAAAGTAGGATGCAGCCTGCCTTTTTAAAAGTTGTTATTGTCATGAAAATAAATAATAGTGGCTAAAATTACTGATATTCTGGGTATTGTATTGCACTTCATTAGGCATTAGGTCATTTAGAGTTCACAACAACTCCATGACATAGATGGTGTTATCTTGCCATTATACAGGTCAGGAAACTAAGTCACTTGAGGTGGGATGTAAATCCAAGTCTAAGTCTGTGTCCTCAACAATATGCTTTACTGAATTTCCTGCCAGAAGAGTATTGACAGATTTCATCCACGTTGCATGACCTAGCTATCTATAGATGCACTTGACCTCGGTTTTAGTGTCACCTGAAGCATGCTAAAAAGATATACAGTAGAAAATCAATCCATTTGCAGATTCTTTTCTTCCTCTTTATCTAAATCTTAATAAAATATTAGGTAGAGGTAGGGAGGCACAATCTATCAATTTCTACCACTTTCTCCTCCAGCTACCTCCACTCTCATCGTCTTTTTTTAGAAAACTCAGAAGTCACTTTCTTCAGTTCCCTACCTCCCATTCTCTCTTGGACCCATTCCAACCAGGCATCCCCAAAATTGTCCACCAAAACAGCTCTTTTTAAGGTCATCAATACCTTCCATTGACCTTTGACTCAATGCAATGGTCATCTTAGGTCCTCATGTAATCAGCCTATCAGTACTTAACACAAGTTCTTCCTTTATTTTCTCCCAAGAAACCACACTCATGTGCTCTTCCTCTTAATTCTCTGACCATTCTTTCTGTTTTGTCTCGTAAGCTGATTCCCTACTTCCTTGACCTGTAAACACTGGGATGTCCAGGGCTCAGCTCACAGATCTCTTTTATTTTCTACCTACACTCTGTAGGTGATCTTATCCCATCTGTGGGTTTTAGATACAGATCCCAATTTTCATAAATAGACTTATTTGACATCTCCTTGGACACACAATCAGCACCTCAAACTTAACATATCCAAACTGAGTTTCCCGAAAAAAAATTAATTCCTGAAATCTTTCCCATCCCAAGTAATGATAATTTTGTTCCTCCAGTTGCTCAGGCAAAAATCTTGAAGTCATCCTGAATGCTTCATTTCTTCTCCAACCTATACCCAAACCAGGAGCCAGTGTGACTTAGTTTGAATGTTTATCCTTCCACTTGCTTAGCTGTGTGCCTTTGGCCTAGTTAACCTCTCTGGGCTTCTTCTGTTTCTTCATCTGTAACCTAGGAATTATAAAAGTAGTTTCTTCTTCGTGGGGTTCTTCTCAGGATTATCATAAGTGAATTATTATATTTAGACCATTTAGAACAGAACTTAATACATGTAAAAACTCAATATAGACCAGCTACTTTTTTTACATTAATCCCCACAATCATTTAATGAGCCCATTCTGTTAGACTGAGCATTGACGCCATGTATTGCCGCTTATACTGATGTCCAAGAATCATTTGGATCACAGGACTATTTAGAATGCATAGCCCCGATGGTCTCCATGAATTTCTGGCATCAGAACATCATTTATAATTTGTATAGCATGAAAAACTGTTTCTCCAATGTTGACACACCATTACAATAGTACTAGCAGTATTAGCTAAAACAGGGATAATATATAACAGCTACACTAATATTTATATAAAACAAATTCAGTTCTCTCTCCCCATTTCATATAATGACCTCAATATGGTTAAAACAGCTCAGTGAGGTATAGGAAACTTAATACTTCCATTTGACACAAATATAACTGTAGTCCAGAAAGCAAGAGTGGATTGGCCAAGACCCCAGAGCCAGAAGAAGGTAGAGGCAGGGTGGGAAGGCTTTCCCCTGACTATCAGGTCCACTGATTCCCTCTCACGTGTGCTTCCCGGCTCACCAGGCTGTGTTCTGTCTCAGTGAGCTTCCCATCACCTTCTCATCTGCATTCTGGACCTTGCCCCAGCCACTGTGGACAACCCAGTAGAGGGAAGTATTTAAGAGAACGGACTCTGGAATGAGGGAAGCTGAGTGCTATTTCTCCCATGTGCTAGCTCTATGACTTTGGCCAAGCCACTTGACCATTTGAAGCTACAGTAGGCTGGTATTAGGTTGCCAGGGTTGCCATAACGAAGTACCACACACTGAGTGGCTCAAACAACAGGACTTTTACTTTTTCACTGTTCTGGAGGCCAGAAGTCCAAGATCAAGGTGTTGGCAGGATTGGTTCTTTCTGAGGCCTCTCTCCTTGACCTGTAAATCGCCAAAACCATGAGAGACTCTTAACTACAGGAAACAAACTGAGGGTTGCTGGAGGGGTGGGGGGTGGGG